TGAGAGAGAGGAGAGAAATTAGTAAAATCATCTTTGTCCCCCAAGAAAACATGCTCCTGGTAAGGAGAAAGCTGACCTGAAGCCTGGATGTGGGAGGATGAAGTCAATCTCCTGTATCCACGGTTGCCACCCACTCCTTCTGCTATCACAGAGGAGCCCCCAACCCTTTCTGATGTGGGAAACCAGCCAGCCACACAGGGCAACTTTATCCTGATTGGGTTGGCACTGAATTCCCTCAAAAGTTCATTATGTTTTCATGTGGGAAATTCAGGCTCTCTGTGAGCTACTGCTGCCCAGCAGTCTCCCTGAACAGTCCAGACCTCCTCCTCAGCCTGCCTCCATCCTGCTCCCCTGGAAACAGCCAAAATTATGGATACTGTCCCTGCCCACAGGCCCAGCCAGGGTTGTAGCAGCCCTGCCCAACTTGGATCTGAGATAAATCACGAGGGCATGGAAGTCACGGCATTTATAAATATTGATCCTGTCTTTGGGGAAGTTCACAATTTTGGAGCAGGAGGTTTTTCTAAATAGCATTAAATAGAGATTCTGGAATTATTCTTGGCTCTGTCAACAGCACAGATTTTTACGGCTGCCCTGTGTGTGGGGCTGAGTGCTCTGACCTGGGCCCACTCCCTGCTCATGCTTGTCTCCCTTGGGCCTTCAGGCCTCAGAGTTATTTATTTTGGGATCTCTCCCAGCAGGGCAGACATGGAAAAGGTCTGTCTGTCACAGAGCTCTTTGCAAGGAAAGTGTTTTAGCTCTGTCCCCATGCACTGGGGACAGGTTGTGCATGACCACCCACCCCTATACAGCTGGCCCAGGGCAGCACTAACAATGTGCTGGCTGCATGCTGAGCTGTCTTCTAATATGTGAGGCCCAGCAACAGTCATCCTCTGGGAAAAATTCCATTGGCACCTCCTCTGTACTTCACAGGCACCTGCACCACCTGGAAAAATGGAGGGGAGACTCAGAAATAGGGTGGTGAAAGGTTTCCAGCCAGCTTGCAAGGCTCCAGGTGGGTTATGTGGATTAAGCATTTCTTATCAAGCCTGTGGGTCAACCTCTGCAGGTCTTTTACTCCAGGATGAAGAATGGCACATGTTCGGTGGGCTGGATCACTGCTTTTGGATGTGAAAGGTCACTAGGTGAAAAGCAGAGACCTAGATTTAGTCTGATCTCCTGGGATGGGGACCTCCAGAAAGAGAAAGTGGTTCAGTCATGGTAAAATGGTTTCAAATTCAACTCAATTTCAAAATTTCAAATTCATGTAATCTCTCTGCAAGCAGTGGTGGACATCTCTCTAGCAACAATTGCTTAAATATGTGGGTAAGACTGCCTTGTCTGGGGGCACAGTAGAGATCAAAGAGATAACCATAATGGGTCAGCAGAAGAAACCAAACCTGTGCTCATTTATCTGGGCAGCTTGGGAGGGTGCTGTGAATCAGAAGTCATCCTCTCTACAGATGTTCAGAGACATTTTGCTGTTTGCCCTAACCTAACAGCTGAGGATATTTCTTCCTAATACTGACCTATAGGAGAGGACAGGCATAGGAACAACAGACCAGATGGATGGTGAGCATTTGATCATCCTCCCAGGAGAGCCTCCCAGGCCCCAGGAGCAGCACCAAGCTTCTCAATGTTACTGCAGTCTGGTGAGGATTTTGAGCAGTGGAAGTGTCAGGCAGTATGGGCTGGCAGGTGCCAGGACAGCACTACAAGCGTCCCAGAGATCCCACTGCTGAACTCAAATCATCTCAGCCTGAGCCAGTGTGTCCTCCCTCCTCAGCACAGTGGGTTTGCTGCTCCAACAATGCTGGGAACACAGCTAGGCTAAAGAGGCCCCGTCCTGAGACCAGCAGGGACAAATGAAGGGCCAGTCCTGCACTCTCTTGATTTGGAGTGGATCCTTTTCTTTCATCCCAAGGGAAGAACTGTTTCTCACAACAAGCACAGGGACCTGTTGGAAGGACACCTTCCTGGATAACTGAGGAGGAAGGCAAATTGCTCTATGTCCCCTCATGTCCCAGAGGGGAGAGCAGAAAGGCCAGTCTGCAGCACCAGGCAGCACCAGCCAGGTGCTCCACTGGTGATGTGTGTGGCCAGCCTGGAGCAGAGCACACCTCAGACTGGAGCCCTGGGCTGAGGCTGTGCAGCTGCATGTGGGAACAGTCAGACAGCACCTGTCCCAGGCAGCTTCCTCTTGGGAGCTATCCCTAGAGGCTGAAGTGGGGCTCTTGAGCTACCCTGCCTAGGGAGCAGGTAGCCAGTAGAGGCTATACCTGTGTGCAGGGCACACAGCAGCCAAACTATGAACCTATCCGTAATTTGTCAGACACTTTGGTGATCCTTGGTGCTCCTGCTGCTCACCTGTGCAGGGCTGAGTGTCCTTGGCCCAGGGAGAGGATCCGCATGGGTGGAGGTCTTTTGAGTTGGCAGAACAGACTAACTCATGGCAATGGAAATTCAGCCTTGGAGTGAGTTCAGATACATGAGTCAGCAGGTCCCAGAGCACAGGCTGTGCCCAGCCTTGTGCAGGGAGAGGTCAGTATACTGCTTGTGCTGCACAGAGTCTGCATGGGGACAGCAAGGGCTGGCCTGAGTCTATCCACAGGGGACACAGAAGTCTCCAAGCAGGGGAATAGGCCATGTGGGTGCTTCCTCAGCTGCCATGCTCTGCTCCATGGGGTCAATGACCATGGCAAAAGGGCTTTGCAGAAGTTATGACCCTGATGATCAAGACATCTTCTGCCCATGGAGGTGCTTACCTGCCATGGCTAAGCATGCAGGACAGAGCACTTGATGGGAAGAGTCCCTTCACTGCAGTCCCTGTGCCATGGTCCCTGCACTCTGCAGTGGTTCCTCTCAGCTGCTTGCAAACCTGTTTCTTTGCAAAGAGCAGGCAGCTGATCTGTCCCCTCCTGCACCATGGTGTCCTGCACACACTGTGCTGCGTGCAATGGGAAGGGTCATCTGTGTCCAGCCACCAGAATCTGCACTGGAGAGCTGCCACTGTGGACACCAGGCTCAGGAGCCAACTGCAAGCTCTACCTGGTTTTGACAGGGGAAGGACCATACTAGCATGAGAACAGGACAGAGCAGGGGCTGTGGGATGAACATAAAGCCAGCGAGATGCTTAGCTTGATGCCATTCTCAAGATGACCTTACCCCATCATCTGTGCTTTTGCAGAAGCTGAAGCAGATGTAACATGGCAGGGAATTGGTTTTTATTCATTCTCTTGGCACTGAGCATTTCAGGAGAAAAGAAGCTTTACAAATAAATGTCCAGCTTCTCTGTCCCAAAGTCCTTCTTATGGACCATCACAACCACACTTACAGTGTGCTGGTGAACCATAGCTCTGTCCTTTAACCCTGACCCTGGGAAAATATCTTCCTTTGATACAACTTAACATTTGTAGTGAGCCTTGAGAATGCTGCAGAGCAAAGTCTTGGGATCTTCAGACAAGTCTGGAAGCAGAGTGAGTCAGATACCCGTTCTCCTGCAAATGCTCCAAGACCACATGCACCCCAGTGTTAAATAAATGCATGTTTATGGTAAACCTCCAGGACATTGGCCTGTGAGATATTTGATCTAAGGTTGCTGTCACAATTTTGCTGTTCCTCACCTTGAGGTTAAACCACAAAAGTCTTTTCTTTCTGCAGAGCTGAGAGAATTCCTGACATTTGCTGTAGCAGTAGGTCACTTGCATCTGCAACTACTAATGCAGGTTTCTGGAGCAAGAGCAATGCACTATAATGTTGGGAAGGATAGATAAATATGATTGCCTAGCAGAAGAACCACAATAGTACAGCCAGGATGAATATCATGCCCCCACTGTCTGGACAACAACCTTACCTACAGAGGGGTCCAAAACTCAAATGGACTGTTCCATCTCACCCCCCAGAATGTATGGTTCATCCCACACCTGTAACCCTCCCCTGAACCATCAGGTGTCTGTGACCCCATTGGCCCAAGTCTTGTTCCAGCCCACCTTGAAGCCCCCTGATAAGGAGTCTCCGAGGGGCCAGACGCCCTCTTGGAACTTCCTTCCTCCTCTCGGATCCCCCCCCCTTTTGGAACTCCCTGCTCTTCCCTTTGTCTCTCCCCTCCCCCATCACCTCAGGCCCTGCCACATGCTGCATCTGGCTACTCAAGGCGGGACCCTTCACCATCCCGAATAAACCTTATCTTCCAAGAGCAGCCAACAGAGATCTCTCATCTGTATCCACCCAAACCGTCCTGGAGCTTCATATGTCTTTACAGACTGGCGCCCAACTAGAAATAGGAACCCACGCTGACCTGCACCCACACCTGTCTGGATGCTTCTCCAGCTTTTCTACCTGTAGGACACTTCTGCGTGGACGGTAACTAAATAACCAGGTGTCCAAGATTAAAAAAAGAACGTTTTCCTATTTACTATCTGAGTAGGAGTTGCCTTGAGGCAGTTTTCCTTATCTGCTGTTAATAGCCCCATCAATGCCTTGCCACATGACTCAGAGATAACACTGTCCAGGAGCAGGTGATTAAGGACACACCTCGTGACTCATAATGACCCATTGTAAGATGCTCTGCCCAGGGGGGAGGAGCTAGGCATTCCAACCTGGATAAAACTGGGGATTTCTAGACAGAGGGTCAGCCTTTTCACAGGTTCTCCGAGAAGACACAGCAACTACATCTGCCATCCCAAGAGGACTGCAGCTACTTCAGTTTAGACTGCTACCAGCACGCTGGCTAGGTTGTATTCTGACTTTGTCAGTAGTCTTTCCCTTTGTATTATTGCATGTGGTTTTTTGTCCTTTTCCCCTTTTCCCAATAAATTGTATTTCTGACTTGGAGTCTCTCACTGGTGTTGCTTTCAAACCAGAACACCAGGTGTTCCCTCCTCATCGCTGTCGTGAGCACGGCATTTTGTTGCTAGGCAGCGTCAAAGCCTGAGCTCTTTAAAAATTGCCGAGGCAATCCTCGAGCACTGCGACTCGTTACCAAGTAGCGAGTTTTTGGAGCCCTTCAAGGATCTCTGCCCGTTATATCTCCGAGCACAGGCGACCACCGTGATTCGGTGGTGACCTAAGGCTGTGGGAGACTTGCCGTGGCACGCTGCCACGTGCACAGAGCATACGCGAGCACTGCCTTGCACTGCCTGCGCTGAAGCTCTGAGGGGGAGTCTGGAGCTCCCGAGCACCAGAAGCCGTCCCTGAGTGACGCCTGAAACCGGAGCTCTGAGGGGACACCCCGCAGAGTCCTGAGCACCGACTGGAGTGTACGTCGTAACCCGACAGAGGACCCTGCTTCTGTGACATCGAGGTGAGCTACACTGGTTTAAAAATGTGACAATCCCACTCTGCCCCTGATTGAGATCTCTATAAGCAACTTAACCACCTCTTACGTAGCCATAACAGTACTTTGTCTAAGAAAAAGTTAAAAAACCTTCTAGAATGGATCCTGCTTAATTTCCCGAATACTGATCGTTCAGCTGTGTTTACTAGAGACTTTTGGGACTCAGTGGGAAATAGACTTTTTAATGATATTTCACACCGCGAGCCCGATGCTTGCAAATTGCTTCCTGCGTATAGAACCTTAGCAGATTTGTGTGCTTCTCAGAAGCCCGTGGTAGCCACCCTGCCACCCTATGCAATTTCTGATGGCCTCACCCACGCGGCTGCGAGTGTCGAGCAAGACTCGCCCCATTCCCCCCCTGCCGCGGCTCCCGCCTGGGCGGCCCCCCACCCTCGCAGCTGCCCAACGCCCCCCGCCGCGGCCACCTCTTCCCCCCCAAGCCGCTCTGCGGCCCCCCCCTCCCCCCCGCCCGCCCCCTCAGTGGCGTCTGTCGCGGCTATGGTGGCCACCATAGCCCACCTTTTTCAAAGCCAAACAACGGCTATTTTGCAGGCGCAAAGCCAAACAACAGCTGCCATCCTGCAGGCGCTGCACGGTCTCGCCGCCGCGGGCACCCCGCCTCAGCCTGACCCCCCCCCCAGCTGCGGGAAGATGCTCCGGGACCCCGTGCCGCACCCATGCCGACGCCCCCCCTTGTGGACCTGCACCGGCCCCCCCCACGGCCGCAAACCCGGTTTCCCCCGCGCTCCCCACGCCCGAGCCTTCTGGCCGCATGGTGGACGCGGCCGCCATGTTGGCTCGGCATGCCAACTCCATCACGCGCCCCGCACATGTGCAGTTCACGCTACCCGCGGACCAAACGGCCCACGCCGATGCCACCGTGCCCCCGATGCAGCCTCTCACTTCCCACGCGCCCCATGCTGCGGTCTACGCTCAGCTGATGTCCCCGCGCCCCCCCATGCCAGCGCCACAGCCCACGGTCCTGGCTGCACAGCCCCAGCAACCTCTGCCGCCAGCGCCGCCTGGTTTACCAACTCTACCACCGTATCCATCCGCATGGGCCAGATCCTGTTACAGCCTCATCACTAATAGTCCTCCCTACTCCGCCTCCCTTGTGCTTCTGGAAACCCCAGCCTCACAGCTACCAGCAGCCCCTGCACGACTGCACCCTCCACCCACCCTCCACCCCCCAACGACTCTGCTCGCAACACCACAATACGAATCCACATCATCCTATGCATGTCCCTCCGCGTCCCTTCCTCCGCCAGATCTACATTCTACAGCTTCAGCCAAAGCTCCAGGGTATCCTTCCACAGATGCAGGCTCTTCCCAGGTGCCTCTGCCGACAAGCTCCACCCCTCCTACTCTTCTGCCTCAGCTACCAGCAGTTTCTGCACCCGGTCCAAGCAGTACCTCACCACAGCTTGGCACAGGAACCATGCAGCGAGAGGGAGAAGGATGGAATTTAGCAGCAACTTTGACAAATAAAGGACAGACAGAGAACTATTTTGCCTCTGCAAACCCTAACCCTCCTATCCCGACTTTACAAAATTCCCAGAAAGGTGTTGATAATCTCCAACTGACAGACTGGCATGGAATCAAATGTGATAGTCACAAAGAGGACAGTCTGAATCCCCGAGCCATGCCAGTGGTATTCAGCCAGCAAACAGCTGTCCCATCTCAGGATGTGAAAGAAGTCCTAAAAGCGATCAAGGACAGTGGTATCTCCTTTTCCTATTTTAAACCACTGTTAAAAGGTACCATAGAAAAAACCAAACCTTAAAACGCATTTTAAATCGACAGAAAAGGGGAGTAGATCAGGCTGCACCTCAAAGGAGGTTGCATAAGGCTCTGTATGTTTATAATTTTCTAAATAGCTCTGCAGGAGAGCCTCACCCCCCCATTTATAGACATTTTCTGAACAACAAAAAAGTAAAAATAAAGGGACACCCCCCAGTTTTAATCAAAATCTTAGATTCAGGACATATACAAGGTCCACACAATCTTCTAATATGGGGGAAAGGTTTTGCTTGTGTTTCTACAGGTGAAGGATTCAAGTGGGCCCCAGCAAAGAATTTGAAGCCCTACCATGCACCGAAATCCGCTGGCACCCCCACACCAGGCAGTACTTCTGCAAGTACAAGCCAAGAAGCAAGCACCCAGACCTGAACTGCGCAGAGTCCTCAAGAGAAAATGACCTGCCAGAAACAGCTCGAGAGAAAAATGGACTTTTATCATTTATATGTGTGCATGTTGCCTTTGTTCCTTCGTTTCAGTTTTTGTATTGAAGTTTTACCTGTAAGTCAACCAAAGACAAATGCCTGGGTTGCTTTAGCCAAGCCTGCAAGCTCTGGTACCATCTGTGTATCTGACACAAACCCTAACAAACCTTTTTCAACCCGTTTAATTATTAGACCTTTTCCAGAAAATTCTGATAATGCCACCCCTACTATAATCAGTGAATTGATAACAAATAATCCATCTCAGCTACACAGTTTATTTAATGGTTTGAGCCTTGCACCTTAGCTAAAGGAACTCTGTAAAATAAGCTTGATTGTTCCAGTAGTAATAAGTATAGTTTTAGTAGCAATACAAGTACACCTCCAAGTGTGCAGAAAATAGTGGTTAAGTCAATATTTAGTATTTCAAATGGTTCAGTGAAAAGAGGGGAGATGTTGGGAAGGATAGATAAATATGATTGCCTAGCAGAAGAACCACAATAGTACAGCCAGGATGAATATCCTTCCCCCTACTGGCTGGACAATACCCTTACCTACAGATAGGTCCAAAACTCAAATGGACTGTTCCATCTCACCCCCCAGAATGTATGGTTCATCCCACATCTGTAACCCTCCCCTGAACCATCAGGTGTCTGTGACCCCATTGGCCCAAGTCTTGTTCCAGCCCACCTTGAAGCCCCCTGATAAGGAGTCTCCGAGGGGCCAGACGCTCTCTTGGAACTTCCTCCCTCCTCTCGGATCCCCCCCCCCCCTTTGGAACTCCCTGCTCTTCCCTTTGTCTCTCCCCTCCCCCATCACCTCAGGCCCTGCCACGTGCTGCATCTGGCTACTCAAGGCGGGACCCTTCACCATCCTGAATAAACCTTATCTTCCAAGAGCAGCCAACAGAGATCTCTCATCTGTATCCACCCAAACCGTCCTGGAGCTTCATATGTCTTTACACTATAAAGAAACTATAAATTCAGAATTACTGTAGCCAACCCTACGAACAAGGCATTTGATATTTTAAGGATATGTTTTCAAGCAGCTGAATGTTCACACACCACAGTTGGAGTCCAAGAGAAGATCCTCCAGATCTTCTCTTAAGTTAAACAGAGGATAGAAACAAACCTCCAGGCTCTAATTTTCATATACTAAGGGTGGTTCAATTAATAATTAAAATTATCAGGAGGCTGGAGGGGTTGTCTTGTGAAAAGCACTGAAAAGGTTGGTATTCATCAATCTGAAGATAAGAAAACCAGGAGGGATATGACTGAAGTGACTGAAGGGAGTGAATCAGGTGAAATTGAAATCAATCCTAAGGCCAAGAGCTAGGGGCAGTCAGTGGCACTGGAAGGCTATCACTCTGAAACAGAAAAGGAAAGATTTCTTCATGCAGTGAGTAAAATCTCAAGAATTTGCTGACATGGACAGCATGGACAAAAAGGGATTAGACCAACTAATGAAGAGCAGGTCCATAAGGGAATATCACAGTCAGACATATACCTTCTGCTGTCTGAAGCCCAGTGACCATGAATGCTTAGGCAGCAAAAGACTCCCCCAAAACAGCATCTCCTATTGCCTTTGCTAGATGCAGGCAACACCAGCTGTAGCTCTGGTGCAGTGAAGTTCCTATTCCCTTTCCTGTTCCAATTTTCTTTTGCAGGATTTTTCCATTAGTTAGCACTCAGCTAATGGGGCATCCCAGCAACATCACTGAGCCCATGGGATAATCTCCACCCTCATCATGATGAGGACAAGCTCCTATTGATAGGGATGGAACAGATGGGAAGCATGTGCTGTGCCTGTGTCCAGGCAGTGAGACCATCCTCCTTCAGCTACAAACATGTAACGCCCTTGGCAGCTTGATCCTTGCCTGCACAGCCCTGAACTGCCTGTGCCTTGTGCTGGAGCCAGACCCTTGCTGTGCTTCTGTTTGGAAGATGCAAGCCCAGGGTGGACTCCAAGCACATCCCGAAAAAGAATATGCGGGCCCTGGTTAAAGCTGTCCTGGTCCAGACAAGATCTGTACCAGTATGTGTCCACTGGGTACATACAATTGTTGCACAAATCCTGCACACCCATGAGCAGAGTGTGTACCACATACCCCACAGACTCATGCAGGCCATGCAGTTTTTGTTTTTTCTCTTCAGGGTCTTTGCAGAGGCAAATGACCCATCTGCTTTTCCAATATGTTTCTCCTAAATTATTTGGAACACTTTGGATGGGACTTGGAACAACCTGGTCTAGTAGAAGGTGTCCCTGCCCATGGCAGAGAGCTGAAATAAGAGGGTCTTTAAAGTCCCATCCAGCATAAACCGTTCTGTGATTTTGTGAGTCTCCTGAACAGGAGGCATGGTGTGATGTTCAGACAGAGCTAGGACATCATAATAATGAACCATCTTCCCAGCCAAGTGAGCACCCATCTCACTCCAAGTGCTCCTTGACAAGAAAGTGCTCATAAGGTTATGTAGGAAGCAACTAGGGATGGGTAAAATTGGTTTGGTTTGATTAGGAAGAAGGTTCTGTCTTCATCTCTCAGTTTCCAACATATTCCTAGTTACACAGATGAGTAATTTAGAAGATTTTAAATCCTTCCCAGGCCACAGAAACTTTTGTGTAAGGATTCAGCTGTGTTTCTTCACATCTGTATCAGGATTCAGGACTCCTCACAGCCTCAGTAACACGTTTAGGTAAAAATTGTCTGCAGCAGTGAGTGGAGGGGTTCAGTTCAAGCCCAGGTTTTCAGTTTGACCAAAGCATCCACTCTGGTTTCAGGCATGAAATGCATTTCAAAACGTGATTGGCCAGGAATAAAAGCTGCCATTGTTCAGTGAGACAAAGCTGCTGATGAATTTCCCTCTCTTCTGAATCCTTCCCAGGTGATCTCAGTTCCTGGCAGTGACTCCCTCAGTCAGGAGTCTTGGTCAAGTAACTTGGACAAACAATATTTAGCCTCAAACTATTGTGAGAATATTTTTTGCTTATTTGCTGTTCAATCACCACACTGTCTGAGTCGGCTGCTTGGACACTTGCAGTGGCCTCTGATCATGGATTGGGTGGGCCTGAATCTTCACAAACAGAAGGAAGGTGGGTGCAGCCAGCACAGATGTGTGTTTGTTCTGTCCTTCAGCCAGTGCCAACATCCATGGTTGGTCTTTGCATGAGCTTCCATGCTGGACAGAGCACCAGAAAGGTGGCCAGCTTGGCTGCCATGTGGGGAGCCTGCAATTTAAGTTGCACTAATGTCAGATACCACATTCCTGCTATGATGCTTGCCTGAGTCCTCCCACATCAGAGAAAGGGTGTTTGAGATGCAAAGACCACCTACACAAACCTTCATCTCACTGACCAGAAGATATCTTTTGGTAGCAGTGCTGTAACTCTCTTAGAACCTTAAGACGCAGAGGAGGGACCCCATGCCCACTGAGCAGAGCTACATTATTTGTATGCTGTGATTGTTGTAATATCATCCAGCAATGCCCTGATAGTTCCTGCAGTATCTCCCAGTCTCTCTATTTCAGAGACTCTGATTTGTTGTGATGCCACAGAAGGTGCCTGGAGAAGTGGTGAGTCCACTGACTCCTCCAGGGCCAAAGCAGCTTCTGCTGTGTCAGCTGCAGCCCAGCAGTTTTCATCACCACACTCATGAAAAAATGTATTTTTCCTTTCTAAGGGTAGGAGGACATAATCCCCAAATGAAAATATCATTAACCCTCCTAATAAAACTGGGAAGAGGGAATTCCTGAGCAAAGTGTGTTCTGGGTATCTGCAGGACCCAACATCCCCTCTGCTGATCCTTGAGCAGACAATGTCAAGAGAAGCTCAGGCTGAACTCATTTAATATTTTTATTAAGAAAATTTATTTCCAGTTTTGTTCTGAGAAGCCTAACCTGTTGCATTCCTAGAATGAGGTATGGTTCTGGTTGTTCTAGATCTGCCTTTTAGGAGAATTACAGAAAATTTCAAATGAGGCAACCCAATGTGTTTGGGAGTAATGAAACCTGGGGACTGCCTTGCAGAAGTGCCTGGGGAAATTAACTGTATTGCGTGCTGAGGGAAAGGAGGACTCTCCCTTCCATGGGTCATCAGCAGGATCCTCTCCAAAGGTGACTCTCTGCACATTGATCAAATCCTGCCCTTGATACCTTCCTGTTATCAACTTTGTCAGGCTGGGCTGAAACATGTAACACCAGTTCACTCCTGTAAGCTGGGCTGAGTGTGAGAAGGAGCAACTGAACTGCCAGAAGTCCCAGCCACATCATTCCTATTTCACCAAGTTTTGTTCAAGTGTTGTATAGAACTTTCTCCTCATGAAAATATATTTCAAAAATATATTTTCAAAATATCAGTTAGCTGCAGAAAGGTATTCTTTCACATTTGCCAGTTTTTGAACAAGCACCCAGGAACACTGCATTAATGGAAAAGAAGAAAGTATTAAAAGGAAGGTTAATCTTGCAGTCTCAGGCAGGACTTTGGTGCACAGGAAGAGCAGCTTTGTGCTTGTCTGCCTTTGCCAATGTCAGCTGGAGGTAAGCCTGGCCCTGCCACCATCTCAGCCTGATAGGGATGGAATATCTCTCTCATACCACCATGGGTCATTTCAGGTTTTCTTAGCTGAAAATTCACATTTTTAACTTCACCAAGACCAACAGCTTATGATTCAGTTCACATCCTCAGAAAAGTGGCCAGTCTGCATTCCAAGGCTGTATGAGATGAAGAGTTTACCACATCTCTCAGCTGTGGTAAAAAAAGTTCCTTTATCTCAAGCCCAACAACGACCAACGATCCAATCCCTGGATCTTTTTCTGTCTTTGCCTTCTTAAAGAGCCTTTGCACTCAAAGTATTCCCCCACATCAGTTTTCACAGACCACAATTAAATCACCTCTAAAAAAATAGATAAAATAAACAGTTCAGGTTCCATTTGTCTCTCACTGAGAATGATTTCTAGCCCTGGCATAATTTTCTCATTCTTTCCTGAGTCTTTTCCAAGTTTTCAGTGTCACTCTCAAGCATAAGCACTAGACCTGAATGTGCCATTTTGCTGATGATGTCACTAAAATCATGTGCAGGAGCAGTGCCACCTCCATGATGCTCAGTCTGCGCATGTCGAGGTCCTGCCTAGCCTAGTGGCAGTGTAACTGTCTGTTCTTCGGTTTCAGCTGAAGCCTGAACCCTCATAGGAGTCCCTGTTCTCCCTATTCCCTCATGGCAGAGTGGCCTGCACATCTCATATCAAGCCATTGTTAAATATTGACTGAAGTGTCCCTGATTTTCTTTATTCCAGTCCCTGTGGACCCCTCATCCTTCCAGCTTGATTTCTTCCTCTACCATCAAGTATCTGTCTGTGTTTTTCTTTAGATAAGGTTTTATCCCATCCCAGACAGCCATTATGTGCTGTCAGTAATCCCATAAACAAGCTTTTCCCCTGACGTTCTTGTTCTTGCAGCAGACCAGTTG